GTGTTCCATATGGAAAACACATGCAAGAGAGTGACTGTGGGCACTCATGCATATTTGTGCTGTAAAACCAAAGGAGGGTTAAACAGTGATGGTCTGAAGTGATCATGTTACATGTATTTTGTAATCTTGCCTATGTTCATTTTACCCTCCGTCCAGTACACATGCATGTTCTTGACCTTTGCTCCCTCCTAACCGGTATTTTGCAGAGAACATAGGTCTTGAAAAGACTCAATTTACAATACCGGAAAACAAAAATATTGCATTGTGTTCGACAGTCTATTTAATGTGAAGGTTTTTGGAGACACTGTGTCGTAGCATTCGGGTCACAGGATCTCTACTTGAAAACTACAATCTGCCAGAGTAAGACTGTAGCAGTGGTGAAATATAAAAGAGGCTGACATTTTTCCCCTCGTCTTCAGGAACGCAGGCATTGAAGGCTTCAGTTTGTTTCACCCCATGTCCAGTGGGCGTTTTGCTCATTGGTGTGCAGTCAAACATGGTGCATGTTTTGTGTAGTTCTGCATCTTTTGCATCCGTTTTTCTTGCACGCTTTGCTTTAGGACGGAAGAGTGGCCATCAGCAAGGTTGCCAACCTGCTTCTGTGCATCTACGCCAAGGAGACCGTTGGATTTGGTCTCCTGAAAGCAAAGGTCAGTATTGGATCCGCTCACCGAATTTTGCTACTCAGTTTAAGTAGGCGAGCTGAATCAAATTGAGTCATTGGATCAAGAAGGTCAAATCGAGTCACAGTGCATCATCGAGTTGAGATAAAAATATTTGAACACTCAGAAATAAGCAGAAGAGAGACAGAGCTTTCATTTAAATTCACAAAAACTTCATTTATCCTCTAAAATGGAAAAAACCAACCAGGCACCTGTTTATTAACGTACACTGTAGTGGTTGTAAACTTCGCAGATAAATAGTGCTGAAATCCTGTCAACAACACTAAAAAAAATTTGCCAGTCAAATCGGTTGTTTAGTTTCCTTTTGCCAGTCTTAACCGGTGTATTTTGACAGCATTTAACCGGCTGTACAAAAAGAAATTAACCCTAACCATGCTGAACCCAACAAGGTTATGCAGGATTTCAATGGTCCCTAGGGGGTTAACCATGCTGAACCCAACAAGGTTATGCAGGATTTCAATGGCCCCTAGGGGGTCAGTTAATCATGTTTATGGTTAGAAAAAAAAACAAGAAGTTGCTGTGTATGTCTCAAAAGAAAACACAACGGCCGAATGTTTTGTTTGAAGAAGCAACATTATCATCCAGGGTGATTTGATTTGATACCTTTATTGTCCATACAGAAATTTGCCTTACACTGGATTTTAAATGCAAAACATAACAATATTTCCCCACAACAAGATAATTCATATCGACCATATCCACCAGAATTCACAAAAACACGTCATAAACTGTATGATTCAAAACTACCGGGTTTTACAAATAGAGCAACAATTAATTTTCACTTAAAAGTCACAAATAAACTGTACTGAATTAATTTACCCCCGTCTTTCGACCATGCAGCAAGTGTTCATCTAGTAACTTTACTGTTGAAGGAATGAATTGAATCCGGTACAAATAACTGTCTATAACGGGGAACGCACAGGCGTAGTCCTGATTTGTTGAAACTGTAATTGTTAAATAAAGGATGAGATGGGTCTTGCATAATACTGTTATTTTACAGAAGCGTAATATTTAATGCAAATACAATGCATCTTGTTACTTTTTTCCTCAGATCAAAGCACTTACGGACTACCTACAAGACCCACTCGTCCAAGTTGCGGTTTCCTGATGATGGCCAACAGGGGGAAATTCAACAGGCGGTCCCTGAAAATGGAAGACAGGTGTTCTCATCACAGGCTATGTGCTCCAAATCCTCGTCCCGGACAGCAAGAATTTCTTTGCATATTCTCAAACTTGCATCACTGAGACAGACGTTATGAAGAAGCAATTGAGCGTAAACAAAGGTTTGAAATACATTTTGGGATGACCAAAATGAACTAAAATTCCTGACTTCAAAAGTGTAATCATAAGATGCCATAACTTCGATATTTGTTCCCCTCCAACTAGAAATCCTGCTATATTTGCGTTGTTACTTGTAATTTGCATCACACATTACGTTCCAGAATATTCTACATCGATATTGTAATTCCATAGATATAGTAAGTACATGAACTAAAGTTAGCAACCTTTTCAAGTGTTCCGTACATTTTTTTTTATATAAAACCTGCCTTGCTGAATGCAGTGGATTGCAACAGTGGTGAAAAGTTTGTTGCTTTCAGCTATGGCCGGCGCACTGCACAGCGCTAACAAAGTCCGCCTGTAAGTTTAGATGCATTCTGTTGCATTTAGCAGGGCGCACTTGTCATTTTGGCTGTCTTTTTTTTTATATATGTATAACAGCTTTAGCGAACAATGGTTCATGAGGCACGATAAATTGTATCAACTCCAATATAGACTGTAAAGCACCGTAAGTGATTACCTCATGGCCCAGTCAGTGATTCACAGCGGCATAAACTGAAAACAATATTCTTGAATAAGTCTAATTGTACAAGTGAAATTGTGGAACATTCTAAACATGAGGGAAAACGTTGGAGAGCCCGGCCGATGAATGCCAGCTAACCAGAGCTCTCCTTGCAAGGGAGTGGCCTCCGATTGCAGCAGGTGCTTATGCACTCTAGACTGAAATGATTGGACCCCGTTGTCTTCAAGTAACCCTACCTGACCTCAGGTGTTGCATTCTGTTGCATTCAGCAGAGTGCTCATTTCAGCTGCGTTGCATTCTGTTGCAGTCAGCATGGTGTTCATTTCAGCTGCGTTGCATTCTGTTGCAGTCAGCATGGTGTTCATTTCAGCTGGGTTGCATTCAGCAGGGTTGTCGTTTTGGCTGTTGCATTCAGCAGGCTTACAAGAGAGAAGTATTCACACTTGCAGTAAACATAGCAAATCTCTGTCACAGAAACAGGAGGTTCTGCTAAATTGAGGAAGTCGCAGGTTCGACCCAGCCTGAGTTACTTGTCCACAGGGCCTGATCTTCCCAGAAAGTTACACTTTGTTGAATGTGCCTCTGATTTTGCCGATTTATAACATTTCAGAATGCTGCTTAGCCAAAGTGCTTAGGGAGTACATGTCAATGTTAACAGGGTTGACCACTATAATGCACTTGTCTGTCTTGTTCATGTATGTAGATACTGCAGTGACTGTTAGTAGTGTAAATATTGCCTTAACTCCTTCATGGCGGAATTATTTTGACCGTGACTGCTGGGCTGTGGTATGCCATGAATGGAGGGCTTTGTCCAGCAGCAGGCCCCACATTGAACCAGCAGCTGCGTGGTGAATAGACTGTGGTATGCACTAATCCTCACACAAAGGTAGTAGCGGTCATCCCTAGCGAAGGGTTAATTTACACCATTACAAGACAATGTCACATTGGTAACTTCTTTAAGGCAATACATTGAAAGTAAGGTACAGTGTATTTAGCTTATGTTTGTTCTCATTGACAATGACCATTGTTTAATCATGTGTTTATCAATGCATTAAAGGAATTAAATAACAAAATGAATAGAAGGGTGAAGTAGTGCTTGTACTCGCTCTAATGCGTGAGAAATTACATATTTCGTTACTGTACGGCACAGTGTAATATTGTACTCTTGTCCTATTTGGGACTTGAATCTGTTTCCTTGCCGTCATAATTGGGAAGAGAAACTGAGAATGAGGTACCCTGGGAAATGTGAGTCTGTTTTATGTTTTATTTACACTTGTGGGAGCAATTAAAAATTTTCTGTTTGGGTCAGGGATGGTGTCTGATTTTAACTTAACTCAAAATAGTTTAATTTTTATTTACTGATATTTCAGTTTGTTTCTTTCTTTCCCTGTCATGTTTTATTTTGTTGTATTTGTTTAACCGGCAAATTGCCTATATGAAATATATTGAAACAGGTGCCTATTGAGCCAAACCCTATCCGGCTGTTCTTTGAAAAACACCAATTAAATTTATCTGTCGACAAGCAACGGGGGCGTCTGACCGTGACATCGGGCCGACAACACGCTCGCTTTCCGCCTGGCGCGGTCCGCTATTGTGTTCTAGCGCCCTCTGTTGCTTGCGTCCGTAGACGCTTCCGTGCCCGACAGTTGACTTGGAAGGGACTTGGAACTACTTTATCTTCAGGGCACGTTTTCGCACGTTTTGTAATGTTTAATGTTCTGGGTGTGCTGCTCGCGTGTATTGGTATTATTATTAAAACCCGGAAGTGAAACACTTAAATCGGAGACTATAAATCACTGAGTCCTGTGGTTCTTCGCCCGGCAAATTTACTACCATTATCACACCTCATTTTGGCAATGATCTCGGAGTACGGTGCTTGCCCGGGATATTCTCAAGTGCAGAAACGGAATACATGTAATATTAAAACTTGCCGCATGAACATGACATGAGGAAGCTCGTGCGCAGTTAGGCTGCTGCATGCACCGTGCACGTGTGTTCTTTGACACCGCACTGCACTCGATCGACACTCATCAACACCTGATCAATGTCTACAGCGGGTAAGTTGGCTTGGGCAATGTTGGAATGATAGATCGACATATGGCATAGATATCTCATTCTTCCTGGGAGAAGAATTCCCAATCATGCCTATGGACTGTCATAATTTTTGAGTTTAATGTCCAACATCATGTCCAAGAAACAAGTTTACCAGTTGACCCTACAAATATGCCCCATTTTCCCCTTTAATATAGCCCTGGACATGTTGGAACGATTTCCTTGCGGAAATCTTGTAAAATTATCAAGCAGAGGCACTGCTTTTATTAAACTGCTTTTCTTGATACTCCAGAATTGTTGGCATTTGTGACACTCGGGAATTGTGATGTCCAATATGGCCTGCAACATGTAGGGAAAGAGTTCCGTACGGATGGCGCCTGACACCCTGTGCATGAACTCTGTGAGACTGGTCTGAAAAATTGAAGTGTTTTCTGAGTAAACGAATTGGTATTTTCCCTTGTAAATTGAACTTTTCTGGACATGTTTTTGCTTTCTGATGACTATACTGTGGGGAATAATTACTGGTGTCCGTATGTGCAACTCTTTCCCTTTCATGCCTTATTACTACAGGCCAACCACCTGTGTTCTGATGCCTGAACTATGGCATCTCTTGCTCTGCCGCCCTAACCGAGAGGCAGGCTAAGGAGGCTGAAGGTTCGACGGATATCTTATGGCTTACTGATAGGGAAGATTGACTGTACTAATTACTGAGACACATGATGTTCTGCTTTTTAAAATTGACCTCATCGTCCGCTACCGTGTGATGTCTGTTGACATGCTTGCTTTCAAACGTTTTCATTGAGGCCTGCAACATGTAGGGAAAGAGTTCCGTACGGATGGCGCCTGACACATTTATTGATGCGAGTACAGTTTCTGTCAAAATTTAAATGCCTGCTCAGTCCCCACAAAATCTATCCTGCAGCCAGATGTCAATACACTCTAGCTGGTTGTTTTCATTAACTGAGGCAAGAGTAAATGTTTTTTTGCGCTAGGAGTTGGGTTTAATTACGTACATCTCCACAAATCCCTTTTAGGGTCAATATTGTAAATGTGGAAGATGTCAAATTGATTGTAAAGTTGTTGTGTATATTTACAGTGTGTGTTCCTTTGTTGTATGTATGTGTATACCGGTATGTTGGAGGTGATTGGCCGATCTGCATGATTGCCAACCCTGATCGCTCTGCGCAATTGGTCTATCTTCTCCAATTGTACATTAGTTTTTTTTAAGCAATCTTCCACAACCGTGAAACGAGAGAGGAAAGGTGATTAACAGATGGTGGAATTATTGACAAATCATGCAGTAAGATTGACCGATTGTGCAAAGGTTGAACTATCTTACAGATCAGCCGATTGCTTCCAACAAATATTGTCCTGATGCCCCGTGCAATACACATGTACATACATGTAGGTATTGGGCACGATCAGATGGTTTGTAGGATTGCTTAACCTTTGCACGATTAGTCAATCTTATTGCATGATTTATCAATAATTCCACCATCTGCCAATCACGTTTCCTTTCTCAGTCACGTATGTGGAAGATTTTTTTTTTTAAAGTAAGAAAACTTAGAGATTTCATATAGAATTGATTGGACGATTGTGCAGAGCCCCCAATTTTGCCCCCAACATGAAGTCATTTATCACATTTTTCACTCCCAGTACCGGTTCCTTCTGTTTCAAAATTCTTAACTAAACAAAACTCCGCCTACACTACTGATGTCAGTGACCCTACGCAGAGTTTTTAAACAGCAAAATAAATGCTCAGACACCTTCAATCAATGTGCCTATTTAGTTAAACTCAAATTTCTTTCGGCCTGGTTTCCTCGTGTGGAGATTGGATCTAATCCGGATCTACATGACACCCTTGGGTATTGTTGCACTACGTAACAAAGTATAAACATTGCTTTGACATGGTTTCCTGATGCTTGTTATCTTGAACTTTAAGTACAAACATGGATATACCCAAAATTAAATATCTTTTCTCTCCAGCTCAGAGTAAAATGGTCAGACAACCGAGATTCCATTCTCTCTCCCTAATTCCTCAATGTATTTAACAAGATGAATCTTAGGCTCCTAAGTCTTTTGTATTCTTGTTTTTTTTACCAATTTTCTTTACCAATATTTTAGGGCTGTGCCGAATATCCTATTAACCGAATATTCGATCTATTATCGAATATTCGAACATTATTTTCCAAATTTGAATATTCGAATGCAAAATTCATGAAAAGGAAGGAAAGATTTTCTTTTGCTTTAAATGAGAAAAAATGCTCTATCGAGGCAGATATAATATAGTTTCAAGCAGATATAAATGAACAGTGAAAGAAATCTATGAAAGATTGAATTGAAGGTCAAGTATTCAAATAGTGAATTATTTGAATTGACTCAAACCCTACAATATTGTGAATACAAGGTCCCGATTATGACAAGGTGAGTGTTGAAAACTCTCCCATCAACCATAGGCCAGCATTTTTGGTATTTATTGGATTAAGGTCATAGCATAAAATTTTGCAGGGTCAGAGGACGGAAAAAATTTCAGATAGAAAACTCTCTAAGTTCCATTTTCCCTACAACTAACTTTGCTTGGGTGAGAGGAGAAAAAAGGAGCTTTTTCAAAGCACTAAGGAAAAACACCATTAGGGAAAAATTATGTCAATTCTTTTTATTTTTTATTTTTTCTCTAAAATTGCATTAATTTAATTAGAGTTGTGGGGTTCATTATTCTTAAAACAAAATGTAAATATAAATCCAGATGTTAAGCTGCATAATGTGTACATTGTCAGTGTACCTTCAGTCAGATTTTTTGCCTTTTTTTCTTCACTTAAGCCTTCAAAACATGCTCAGGTACATACATGTATATCTGTAGTATGTTTGACATGAGTCATTTTCGTAGCAGTTCAAGAAAGTGATGTTCCACCAGTTAACAGAATGAGTTTGAAGATCAGAGAGATTCCCGCTGTCTTACCTGGTAAAAGAATTTGTCATGTAAATTGTAAAATTTTGGATACTGTACATGGGGTTGAAGTACACATGTACAGGTATGTTATTTCTACTCAGTTTGATACATTTATACACATGAACTTTTCAGGATATGGAAATATTAATGCTAACCAGTGTTCTAGCTAGGACCATTTTAGTGCCGGGTAAATGTTTGGATTACAAAGCATAGTGAGCGCCGTTCTTAATGCTTTCTGATGCTTGAAATATGATCCAATTGGTACATTTACATTTTCAGTAATATTTCAGTTCAATTTTTGGAAAATCCATGCTGGGTGGCACAGCCAAATTCAACCCTGAGTGCCGGGCAGAAATTTGCAGTACCGGGTGGTGCCGCCTGGTGCCGCCTGGTGCCGCCTGGTGCCTAGAACCCTGATGCTAAATGAAGCGATTAAATGTCCCCTCCTAGTAGAGTAGAGATTGATAGAAATACAGTTTTCAAATAATTTCTCAGGTGAGTGATTTACCAATTCAGGAGCACAAGCACAACCCTGTGATCTGTATTTTTGACTTTCGGTTCCTGTCTGTGATGCCTTGTTTCGGGACAGAGTCCCTGTGTCGCTGATAACACATTGGTGCATTGTTTGTCGATGTGGTTGTATTTTGTTAAAAGGACCCCTCCCCGCGCACACACAGACATACAGTATGTGCAATTTGTTCCCTTGTATGCAACAATCAAGGAAATTGTATAAAAAAGACCTGCATAAATAAAGGTACATACTGCAATTGTAAATTACATATGCGCATATAATATGCAAATGACATTGGATACAGGAACTGCATACGTGTACACGATTTCTTTTTCATCATTATCATATGATTTGTGAATGTTTTTGGAAAGTTTGCATCCTGACTTGATTTTTCCTCCTGGCCGGAATGACCTGATGGTTTCAATTAATCAAAATTGTGAAATCGGAATCAAAGCATCACACATAACTGGTGAAATAAAAAAGGTGTCCACCGCAATAAAGGAAGTTTGAATAACTCTTTCGTGTTATCCTTGATCTTTCCACCCATGTTTTTGTTTGGTATTATGTAGCAGCAGTCTTGATATTTTAATTTCATGGTATTTATTTAATAATGCATATGTATTTATTTCCCTTTTGTCGTTTTTCATATTGTGGGTAGAAAGGCAAAATAGATCAGTATTCTTCAAGCAAAGTAGCGTGGTGGCCCACCACGTTTTGTTTGTCTCCTGCCTTTAGAAAAGTAGCCACCAAGCTTCAAAGTTCGGCCACCAAGTTTAAAATGTTGGGTGCTTCTTTGACACTCTATAGAGTATTTTAACTTACAAAGCTTAACTTTGAAGGAAAAAAAGATTGCCCATGATTCCAAAGATGGCAGAGATGTCAAGAGACTGGGCGAGGTGCAATTTCCCCCCAGATGCATATCTTCACTTCTTTTTTATGTATTTTGTATTCGAAAAATAATTGGAAAATGCGACAGAAGAGGTGTCTAAAGAGTTTTTGAAGGAATGTTGCTGATTGCACAAATAGTCAGACATTCAATCATTTCTTGAATATTCTCTCAAATATTAATTTGCAAAATCGATTATTCTGAGGTGGGAAATCAAGTGAATGGAATTGGAAAAGTGCAATTATTTTGGTAAAAAAATTGCGTTTTAACAGCAAAGTTCGAGATGCTATGAGTAAACTGAAGCGTGGGGTCCATCAAACTCAGATGTTTTGGTAATATTAGAAATCCATCACTGAGTAGATTTAGTACATTACCCCAACAAGGTTGAGGAAAGTGCAGGCACACAAGACTATTGATCCTGCTTGGCATGAAAGTGGCCCCCCTTGCTTCCATAAATTTAATCGTATTGAAAGTCAATTTTTTTTCTAAGAGCTCGGGCACAGAGAAAAATCATCAGAAACAATGAAAGGTGAACAACAACTATAATGAAATGACAACATCCACCATAAAAACCAGGTATTATTCTGAAAAAAAAAGGAATTTGGCGATAATTCAGTACACTGTCCACGAAAAGACATACATGTATCTGGAGTTTCAAATGAAGTTTTTAATCAAAGTGAGTTGATTTTTTCTTTTTCCACGTGCACAGGTTTCAACGCTTGTAGCTCTCAGTGAAACTTTGCAACCAAAATTACTTGTGTCAGCTCGACATTTGTTTTTTCAGCTGATTTAGAAATGGAGGAGGAAAATCAGCGGATATTGCTGGAAATCCACCGCGAGCAGTTGTGCAGCCAGATCAACACTCGCCGCCTTCTGGACAGAATGCGAAGTCAGCGCGTCTTCACCAAGGACGAGTGTGAGGAGATTCTGAACGAGATGGTGAATCCAAACTCCTCCACAAAAGCAGGTCCGAACTGCCAGGAAACATTTAACATATTTCCTTTTGTCATATTAAATCCTGTCCTTCTTTTACTGACCGTTGTATTCCTCTGATACACACTCACCTCCTACTCACTGTGTACTCACCTCATTGAGTACTCAAGATATCTGTTATACATGTGCCGTACTTAACACCATTCACATTTGCTGTAATTTAATAAACAAATTGAACTTATATGAAGGTTTCAGAGTTGTTGACTCAAGTCACTTCACTTGGACTCAAGTCAGACCCGAGTTGCTATTTTTGTGACTTGTGATTTGTTCTGTCAGTTTTTGACTTGCAACTCGACTTGGACTTCCACATTATGACTTGTTACCAATGCAAGTCAAAAAACCACTCAATCGAACCCATTAGATTTTTAACTTAGGCCTGTCAATATTCACTTTACGTTCTTAAAATAATCAACATTAAACTTTGGCTCACAACTTCTGCTTTGGTCTTGTCTGCACAAGGCCACGTCTGAATCACTTGGTTGTGGCTTATAAATCTCACATAGCACGCCTTGGCTTATACTTGGACAAAAAGACTTGTGACTCGCTTGTGTTTGGACCAAACTGACTTGTGACTTGACTTGGCTTGACCTGTTTCCAAATGCCTTGACTTAACCTGTGATCAAGTGACATAATTGTGACTTGACTTGACCTGTGATCAAGTGACTTAATTGAGACTTGACTTTACCTATGACCAAATGAATTGTGACTTGACCTGTGACCAAATGACTTGTGACTTGACTTGACCTGTGACCAAATGACTTGTGACTTGACTTGACATGACCTGTAACCAAGTGACTTGTGACTTGACTTGACGTGACCTGTGACCAAGTGACTTGTGACTTGACTTGGACTCGCAAAAATTGACTTGCTTCTCTGGAAAGTTTGAAATTGATTGTAACTATCCAAAAATGACTCGTTCATCACAAGTCAGAATTCACATGTGGGTCTCCACAATGTAGAGAGAATTTAGGTTACCCTTATCGTGGCTTCTGCATGCAAACAAACTGCTCAGTACACCTCCCTGCACAGAATGTCGCAACCCGTGTTCTTGACAAGTCTCATCTATACACCTGAAGCAGAAGCACCCCCTCACGAAGAGCCATATTGGTCAGGAGTGTTCATTAATTTTTGTTGGTACATGTAGCAAAGTGCGAGCATAATGCATGCATTTCATAGTTGCTCGTAAACCTGCAAAGTTTCGTTCCGACCAAAGGAGCCTACGTACGTTGCTAAGAAACTTGCGCCCTCTCTTGGTCCAGCTTGAAGCTCATACATACATGTACACATTACATGTATTCCAGTTCAACATCTGTGCATATAGGACCTTTTTCATGATGTGACTTACATATAGGTTTCAACTACAAGTATCAAGTCTTGGGCTTCAGTGTACCAGACGGATATTATAAACAGTTGTGTGGAAATGCGCACATTATTTCACCAATTTTGTGTGAACTGAAAGTGTCATGGAGACAAAGATATGTCCCCACAACTTGGTCCTAATTTGCCTGTTAAACAAAAGAAATTGTCCCCTGAATACTGAAATTGACTTGCCAGGAAAGTAAGCCAATACGGAACTGGTGTTGGTCAAGGTGTGCAAATCTTTTTGCTCAGAATGCTGCTATTCCAAAGAGAACAGGAACTTCAGATTAATTTCCAGTGATTGATTCGTAGGAAATGACTTGTTCTGACAATGATATCTATTATCTGCCAACAAAATATTGGTCGTGGAATCGTTGGAAAAACACTAATTTTAAATATGACATCAGTTTTAAATGTGAAATTGTCGCACGCTGGCCGCTTCGTGTTGCTGGTTCTGCTGGTCACGCTCCAAATAATTTTCCTGACATCGCTAAGTTTCTTTAGTTGAAATATACATGTTCAACGGGGCAGTGATTTTATTTGGGAAATGGGAAGGGGGGGGGCAGATGGATCAAAGAGAGACAATTAAAGGAGACAAAATAACTTCAAACACATTAACAACGCCAACTCTTTTGACCAATGAGGCCTAGAATGTGCTGCTTCAGGCATTCAGGAAGTTCGATTAAATATTATAATAATTATTATGCGCATACTCGATACCTCTAATACGATTCTTATGATTTATACCCATGCACCCTTAATCCTCCATAATAGCAGCAGCAACTGCACTAATGACTCCGCTGGATGCATGGCTACTCGTCGGTTATGCCCTTTACGACTTTGTCAAATATTATCATCTAAAGAAGTGCAAAATGATAAGGTAATAAACCAAAAGAGGTAAAATAGTCAGAGATGCTCGTAACTTTGGGTAAAATTGAAACAACAGTGCCTAATTACGTAATTAACAGTGTGACTCACAGTGAGTCATGCTGGCCAGTTGGACATACATGTACACGTATAATGCAAACGCTCACTCTTTGTAGGCAACACTATAATGCTATATCATTGTCAGGCAAACAGGTGGATGTGACTTTCGGGTACACATTTGTAACGCGCAAGAAGCAAATTAAACCACTGCGCTATGACCCTGTAACTACTATTAGCTACCTTGCTCCTTGACATGTATGAGATTGTATGGGGTCGGTGGTTTGTCATGGTCGGTGGTTTGTCATGGCCTATATCTCTTATGACATGTATGAACATACAGTTAAGCTCTCATTCACCCTGAACCCCCCAACTGGACAGTGATTTGGTTTTCAGAAGGGTTCAGCCTCACCACTGATTTCACAGTGTATACAACAAGGGCCCAATTCCATGGAGCTGCATTAGCAAAAGAAGCGTGCTTACTGTGGCAGAAACATTTGCTAACTTGCTAAGCACTATTTCATGGTGGTGCTTGGCCTGGTTGTCGTGGTTGTGTTAGTGGTTGCTCGTGCGCATGGAGATTTCCATTGTTTTGTCACAATACGTTAAGCAAATTTTTCCTCTGTGATTAGCGTGCATGGCTTTTGCCATGCTTACTGCTTACAGTCTCCATGAAATACGCAGAGCCTCTGTTAGCATGGTCAGTGTATGTGAAATGTTGTCCTGAGCAGCACTGTGAAAGTCGGCTAAGATCATTTTATTTCTGTCATAACTAGTTTTGGTCAATTTTTTTTTTTTTTGCTCCAGGTTCCTTTCTGGACCACCTTCAGAGAAAAGGCCAATATGGCTACCGTGTCTTCTTGCAAGTCCTTGGAGAGATGTATCCGGAGTCATATGAGTCACTCACTGGCCACCTACCTGAAGCACCCAGCATCGATCCGACCAGCACATTACGCAGCGTTGGTTACACATGTAAGGATCATGCACTTGCACAGAAACCTAACAATGCCCAATCAGCTCCCGCAGGATTACCCAAAAGAAACAAGATTCTGTCGAGGGGCTCTCCTAACTAACTGGATAAAACATATAGGACAAGGACATGTACATGTACATTGGAGGCCTTCGTGTAATAACCCAGTGCTTTTCTTTTAAATGTGGGATGACCATAACTAGCCTACACTCTATTGTCTCGCCTTAAGGTGTTGATTTCGTTGGGTGACAAATACTCGATCACAAATTGGAGCGTCAGTTTTGAGTTAGGTGCTGCAGGTGAGAGGCAAGCAGGGAACACATCAGGGGCAGTATACAGCTCATGGTTTGTACGGTACTGCAGCTACTGTTATCAAACTGGGTTGTGGAATGGAAAACAAAGTCAGAATTATCTGTGCGAAGACGGCTTGATTGCACCTACTTGTTCACTGAACCTAATGTTAAAAGTAGCACCTAAAACAATGTCAAAGCAACAATCAAAACCAAAATGATTAAACTTCGGCTCTAAACTGTAAAGAAAGGTGTTGTAAAAATTAGTTCAAATAAGGCTGTTTTGATAAAGCTTGGAAACACCGACTTCTTGAAGTTATCCAACTTTTTATCATCTTGTTTTAGTGCCAAATAAGGTGGGTGATGTGATTGGGGATCTGACGCAAGAGGCAGAGGAGCTTCACCGGAAACTGGATTTCTGCAATCAGGCGAGAACTGATCAAGAGCGGAAGATTCAGAGTTTGACCGAAGCTCTGGAGGTTGCCACAAAGAAGGCGGGGATGTACGACAAGCTAAAGAAGGCAAAAAGACGGGTAAAGTTGCTTATTGTAGTGACCAAAATGTTCATATATTCTTGTGTTCAGCAGTCGCTTTGTTTACCATTGTGCCTGAAGTAGTAAGCTGAAGGTCATGGATTCAAGTACCACCGGAGGAAGGTTGTGAATTATTTCACAAGGCCTTGAACAATACCGAGTATATAGTGAAGGCAAAACAGCCAATATTGTCCATTCTGTCACTGATTTTAGACAAGATGACCGGGCAATATAAGCCTGCCTGTGTATTGTTTGCACGGCGTGTGTAGCCCCAAAACACCACCATTTACATGTGGAATCATGCCATATTTTGTTCATTCACAAAGCTCATATCAGAGATGAGTTAATTTGAAAAAGTGTGGAATCTTTGGGTGTCAAGAGATTTCTCCGAATAGTGCTAAAACTTTACTGCAGATTTCTCAAATTCAAGGAAGGAAGGGCTTGCCTGATTCATATGTTTGGGCTATTTGTATTTAGAGGGAAACTAGTTCAAAGAATGAAATAAAATCACAGAAAAATGTCCTGTCCATGACTTTGTCTGTCACCTAACAACTTAGAAGAGTTGCTGTGAAACGTGTCAACCACAATTTGCAAAAGCAGTCACAGTGAGGGATCGCCGATGCTACATCCAGCAAAGTATCCGGAAAAAAGCAAATGCTTCCATGTCTTAAAGCTGCGTTCATATCTGTGTAAAAGGATAACAAGATATGGGGCATATTTTGGAGTGCAAGGATTTTTTATTTTTTTTTTATCAGGTTTATGTTTTATCTAGGGTTATTAATTCAGTTTTTGACCTACAATTGTTACTTCCATCGTAATCAGTGCCCAATCTTGATTGACACTCTGCCCATTAAATGATTTATCACTTCATGGAATAAGCCACCTACATGTGTACACAAATAGGGTTGTTAATACGGAAAAGTGATAACGGATATGCGGCACAATTTATACACAAGAGATGGAAACCTGCTTGATATGCAAATTATTAGTTTAGGGCATCATGTGTGAAGTATCAAAGGCAAAATGAGGAAGCTCCAACCAATAATCCAATCTGTGATGTCATACGTCAGGATTGTCATGATTGGCCAGAATGTACCGTCTCAGCATGGTACCTTTGAAAAATCTGATACTTCACACGTGCAACTGTTTATTTTTCTGCCCTAGAAAATTTGTTGTTTGATATTTTGTGCAGCATGAAATTCTGTTATTGCTCATCCGTGTAAATGGGCCCGAAAGCTTGTTAAATCAGTTGGAAAAAACATCAAAAGCCTTGTTTGAGACATGTGAATTTGTTAAATGATGTATGCACTATTCAGGGATATTCATCGAAATAATTGCAGTTTCTTATCAAGTTATTTTGATGCTAATGAATCCTGTAGGCAGAAAATAAAGTCAGTGTGCTAGAGGATGACATCAGAACTATATTAGGAAACTCACTGCGACACAAGGAGGAAAGAGACCAAGCCATGGCCAGTCTGAGAGAGGTTTGTTTCACAATATTTGTCATTAGATCCAGGCCGCGCCGCCCTTAGGCATTCTGTAAACTAGCCTGCCTGGCAAGTTAACCAATGTTTTTAATGGCCCGCAGGAATTGTCATCAGCTGAATTGACAGTTTTTAGCAAAACTAGATTTTTTTAGCAAAACTAATCTGTTCACATGTACATTGAATTTTTAAGGGGACTTCTTATCAAGATATATTACACTTGTAAAACTGCACGTTTTTAGCAAGGCAAGATTTAAAAAAAAATAATTACCTCTTTGTACTTAGTTTGTAAGGAGATTTTTTAATCAAGGTGCGTAACACTTGTTAAAAGTACATTTAACGTGCCCCTGTCGACATTACAGAGAATGAAGGATTTCCACGAGCTTCAGAGGCGTCTGCAGCAAGCAGAGGATCAGGCAGAGGTCCGTCGGCAGATATGGCACAAGACCTGCATGGACAAACAGCAGCTGAAGGTGGACCGAGAGGAGATGCTACAGCGGATGTCCACCATGCAGGAAGAACTCAAACTAGCCAAGAGAAACGAGGTGAGATGTATGCGCCTTTACTTCCGCCGCGCTTACCAAAGCAAGTGCGACTGCATTCAATGCAACACCCGCGTAACTCATCTTGCTTACTCAGGGCTGACCCAAGTGATCTACTTGTCAAGCCGGTTACTCAGGGAATGTACAGTACAGGTGTCCCACGATACAGTACAAAAAACCTAGTAGCTTAGTGGAATGGTACACAGGAAAGTTGACACCGTTGTGAATCGTTCTGGAAAAATTGTCACATGTATCGGTAATCGAAGCAAGTTCCGTGAAAGAAAGGCCAGAAATATGAGTGTGCGGATGTCTGTGGATTTCCGCATTCATTTTGAAAGGTCCGTTGCTTTATGGCCTCATGGCCCCGTTGAAGAGCCTCAAGTAACCCAGATGGTGCATGCCCATCTAAACCTAGGATGATGCCGTCGGCAAAGGCGTGAGGAGTATACGATTGCAATGGTTACAGTGACACTGTTGTGAGGAAGTCCTGTTGTGTGGGAAAATGTAGTTGGAGAGCTCCACCGTATGCAAAGCCTGCTTGTTTTTACAGATCTGGTCCCTGATCTTGATCCGTGATCCCAAAGCTGGTTGGCTCCATCCATTTAGTTCTGATGTCAGTGAACCAACGACAAATCATTGATTGTGATATTTTGATCAAGACCTATGTGAAACAAATAGGCACTTAAAAATAACGTTGGTCAGACATATGGCATACTGACATGAAACTGCAGTTGCCATGGTGATGGTTGCCATTGGCTACTGGCCTGAAATGTCCATTTAAAAACATAAAGAGATGGTTGATTGGTTTGTGTGTAAGTCATTTGCATTCATGTGAGTAGAGATACAACTGCATCACCCGCACAAATGTCCAACACCTGATTGGTGGGACATTGATCATGTGTTATTGAAATTCATTCTGTCCAGTCATGGCAGGTTGGTAATTATCAGTTCATTGTATACAAATAATGAATGTTTATGAGTGTGATGGTAAGAATATAATGTCATTGCATGAGACAGATGAAACGGTCTGTTTTATATAAATCCTCGTCATCTGATTTTCTGAGTACAGCTGGATTAATTTTGTGATTCAACCTGGAAGTTGTCCGTTTGTGAATTTGTTAATTTTTTGACATGATATATCGAGCTTGTTTAATTATTTGGCAGCATTTTATCTGTTTCCTTGTGGCGGCAGTATCAGCATTGCTCAAAAGAAAAGTTCTTATAATTATTTCATAGCAATGTGAATGGTGGAGCTTGATCACTCGCCATTTTGCCATTGAGAAATTTGCACCACAAGAAGCTGAATTGCAATCAATCCAAAGATGTGTTTGATGTTCGTTTCTAACACACCGTTGATTTAAATTTTTTGCACTCTGCGTGCTCATCACACGGGCGTCATACGCAAGCTGTGTGTTGGTACAAATAATTCAGTGCCATGTGATCAACAGTCCACCAATCAAATGACGGGGATTTATGCAGGTGTTGTATAACACAATCTACGAGGTAAATATTTGAAGGAGTCAGTCCTTATAGGAGGAATTTAAAAGCCAAACTGTAACAAGTCATAATTGATTATTCTCAAGAGGCACCATCTTTGTGGGTGAATTACATCTGTGTATCAATGCCATCGAGGCATATGCGAGCAGTGTGTAAATGTTCCATTCTCCGTGCATCGCTGATCCAAATGTCTTTGAAGTAAAGAGCAGCCGATGTGCGTCACAAAAATTTGATATGAAAAATGCCGATGCATGTGGCAATCAGTAGGAAGCGGCGTCGTTTTAGAGAGACTTATAAAGATGAATGTTTTCTTACAATGATGATTCTGAAAATGGAGTGTTCGATATTGAATATGGAGCATTTATGAATAATAATCAGGTGCTTAAAGGGCAGATTGTTACGTCTCGTTTTGGCCAGAAAGTTAATTTGAAAGGCTGAAAGAAGTTTCCCGTGTTTTTCTGGTTTGTAGGATGTTAGGAAATCTATCAACATGTCTTCAAATGATTCTGGGCGAGACGAACATGTTCAAGCGACTATTAACATCTTGGAGGAGGAACTCCAAGACTATAAAGAGAAGTCCGAGGAATTGGCAGACAGCCTGCTGCAGGCCAGGAACGAACTGCACTGGCGTGATACAGAACTTGAAAAGGTATTACTGAAATGTTTGCTTTACAATCAGGAGGACTCTCATGTAGTTATCTTTCAACTGAGTTGTATTAAATGACTCAGTCATGAGTCACCACAGGTCACTTAGTCCTAAGCCAACTCATAAGCTACTCAAATGACCTGTGACACTCCTTTATTTTTTGTTTTGGTTCATCTCTAGTTCTTGCTAGTTTTGGGAGCTGACTTTTTATCTTTTTTATGTCCACCCAACTGTTTATTCCGCGCCAATTACTGGATGAAGTTAAATTTAAGCGACAATAAAGAAATGTGGTGGGAGGAAAAGTCCGGATAAATATTCCAGGAAAACCCACAGAAATCAAGCAGGCACTAAAAACCCAATCCACATGCTAGCCTGTGGATTCGAACCCGGGTCACAGAGGCGGAAGGTGAGGAAAGAGCCACTACACCAACCTGACTCCCCCAAATTGACTTGCACATTGACTTGTTGACTGATTGTGATTGATGTGAGACACACTCTGGCAGCAAGCAGCAGCTGGGCTAACATTACCATTTCTAATGAACCTCGTGTCTCAATGGCAGATCATAAATGTCAGAATCAATTTGTAGCATCCAGACTTGTTACGGCTGTGACTTACAGATTAATTATGTCGGCAGGTTGAGAATTTTGTCAGAAAATCCAGTCCTCTTATTATTATTCATCAATACCACAGACAGTTCAGCCGTTCCTGTTTTGTTCAAGAACTCATCACATGGCTGGTCTTGCTGGCTTTTCTCCATCTCACTCCGTATGTGCCATGCGCTGATGTCCAGGAGATTGTTTATGACTACTCTCAAGAGAAACATAGAATAACATAGCTCGAGGGGTGTTCATAAAAATTGAAGCCTATTGAACAGAATAGTTGGAAATTTAATATTTAAACTTGTTGTGACTTTGATACTCTAAAGGTATTAGTGAATGTGCGTATAAACAGTATGTGCTTCAGTCTTAAACCTTCATTCAAAACTGGTTCAGGAGCATGGACAATAATGTCTTATGCCTTCAGCTTGGAGTGTTATTGGTGCTTATTCACCCAGAGCATGGACACCAATAATGTCTTATGCCTTCGGCTTGGAGCGTTATTGGTGCTTATTCACCCAGAGCATGGACACCAATAATGTCTTATGCCTTCAGCTTGCAGCGGGATTGGTGCTTATTCGCCTAATCAGGTGTTATTGCAACCAACCACATAATCATTCCCTTGATATTATTAATCCTCTATTTAATATGTTGTTGTTAAAGTGTAAATCTGAAAATGAAGAACTGAAACAAAAGGAAAGCAGTGTTGTCAAGATGACCGAGTTATTCAAGACACAGTATAATGTCACCTGGCAGGAACTCATAAGGGTGAAACAGCAGCGGAACAAGGTGAGTCACCCAGCAACCAGTGAGTATATTTGAGTCACTTCCCTGGGTTCACCCAAATTCAACTGTGTGTTCAAATAGTGCTGAGGTCAATCATAGGTCATACGGGGCAGACCTTGCTGCTGTGATGGGCAATGCTGTAGAATTATGTCACTCAAACATTTAAAGGAAAATGTAATACAGTTGTTTTAATTTTGTCCTTTAGCTTGCACCTTTGTGTTTCAGTTACCCATATTTTCAGTTCAAATTTGTTTTTCTAATTTAATCTATATTTTGGTTTCTGTGCTATGCATATTTGCATATGTTTGAGTAAAACTGTGATGTCATCCGAAGCATTGAGCCTCAATGTTCCATTAATTTGCACACCAAAAGAATTGCTTGAATTTTTTATATTCTGAGCTATAGTAAATTTCCATTTCTTTGGACTGTTGTGTAAGTGTATGGCCACAAGCCATCATGGAACCTTGCATCAGAAATGTTTTCAAAGAGCGGATTTGGGGTTCAAAATTTGAACATGTAAACTGGCCAGTGTCTTCTCTGACTTACGTGTATGTCACAGCAACTGTGCCCTCACTTGCTTGGTAGAGCTTGGGCAGTTTGTAATATTTGAAAATGTGCACTTTTCGGTTCACTTAACTCGAAAAGGATTTCAAACGTCAATTACTGTTTCTAGAAAGATGAACCAAGAAATTGACTGGGTGACTTTGAACTTGCATCCAGCCGAACACCATTCAGAAACACCAGTCAGGTCACCCATCCCACTGTTTCCCTTAAGGAGCATTACAGTGTAACTCACGTGTTTGTTTGTCTGTTTGTGTGGTTGTCTGTCTTTTTTTTGTGGGGGGGGTTTCAAAGGCTATTGACGAGAGAGATCAAGCACAGATGGATGCTAAGGCCCATCTTGCTGAGTTGCACAAGCAGCAAGAGTTGATACATGCACAGCTACAAAACCTGCAAGGCATTCATCTGTGTCCACAGTGCTCTATTGGTACAACGCAACAGGTCAGTGTCTCCATCTCTTGTCGGTCACAAATTCGCGTTTCAAAATCGCATTACAAATCATGTTTTGTGAGAGGGAAAGACCATTCGCTTTGAAAAACACGTTCACGTTGTTATGCAGTTTCTTGTCAAAACTGAAGAATTGAAGGGCGCAGCCGCGTTTTTTCTTGTCTCATTCAGTTTAACTTAGAGAAGAAAAGGAAAATTGGAAATGGAGAGATGCCATTGTCATGTTCGTTAGTGAGTATGATAGTTTTTGTCCGTTGCATGGCTTTGGTTGAATTGTTGTAGATTGGGGCCATTTTTAGTTGTAAAGAGCCCAGTTGCAGGTAAAGGTCAAAGTTCATCTAATCGTTGGTGGAATTTCTGTTGTTTTTTTTTTACATGCCAAACGTTCATGCCACATCCTTGCAACAGATGGGAACCATACATATCGCCATACCCATGCATGAGTAATCATGTATGTGTCTACATGTAAATTGTATAGTTTTGTCACTTTCTGAGTCACATGCAGTCCAGGGTTGTACTAAATATTCTAACATTCGGACTCTCAATCAGTTATCAAATATTGGAATACATTGGTGTCATGTGATCTCGCTGGGACCAAGAGGAAACATTACCAATTTAGGATGGAACATCAGTGGGACTTCCAGCCTCCTCCTCTACTCAGGTGATGGATCACTACTCAGGCGATGGATCACTACTCAGGCGATGGATCACTACTCGGGCGATGGATCACTACTCGGGCGATGGATCACTACTCGGGCGATGGATCACTACTCAGGCAGTGATCCCAAGGAGGAAAATCACCACACAATAAATTGATCACAAACATTGCATTGTAATCTGTAAACCATGGGTGTTGATTACATGTACCTTTAGTCTCATGTGTTATTTTATATTTTTGCTCTGTTCCTCTGCAAAATTGTCATTAGCCTGTCCAAAGGTTTTGGGAACAAAAGCTAGTTTACTTCATGCAATACCTTACATTCCTTAATCACGTTCACATGTCATGGGAACTTTTACGGTAACATTTGTTGGTGTTCATATGGATTCTCTTATTCTGAATCCTGTACTGAGGTGATGAAGCAACAGCAACGGAACAGTTTTCGTAAAGTAGGGGGAGCCCCGGCCATGAGACTGAAAAGAAAACAATTAATGAAGTTGCAATGTACCTCCAAAGGCGCGTGGGACTATAAAGTGTGAGGTGTTTCCAAATATCCTTTGTTCCCAATTAACGCCAGTGGCGTCTTTTCAAATGCAGCTGGTTTAGCGGGCAGTGGTACTGTATCGCCAATCGGTGGGGAGGTGGAGAGCTTTTGTCCACGGTGCTAATCCGCGGGGGCGCTATGCCGAGAAACAGTGATATACCGTTTCAAAACAATGACGGATTACCTCCAATAAATGCAAGCTGAAAAATGACGGCAATAATTCCCAGTGGGTCTTTTGTTCTGAGTACGGTCTTTTGTTACAAGGCCCAGCCCTTTTTTTTTTCTGATTTCGGGCACCCGGTTATGCATACAAACCCAAGGTACCCGAAACCAGGTTCCCTGGCAGCATATGGTTAATTGTTTTGATGGGCAATTTTCAATGTTTTCCCCTCTACATGTTTAACCCAAGTAGTTTAGATGCCAAATAGTTTTCCAGCATGTACAAGAAACGTGTATGAAGTTGCAAAAAAGTGTGTCTAAGAAAATAATTTTTCCTGAGCTCTTTAACACTGCCCTTCCTGCAATTCTGAATTGCAACTTTCTCAGAAAAGTTTTGTCTTCAATGCAGGTACAAACCTACTTGAACACTGAGCCACTGACGGAGAACTGCAGGATGGACGCACCCATGGAGTACACTGGCACCATCTCACCAGACTTGGAAGAAGATTCCCCGTCACCCTCCCCTGACCTCGCTCCCCGGCCGCGAAGTCGCGCAAACGCCATAGCCCGGGAGGCCAAGATCACCGACAAAGTGATTTACAACGAAAACACCTTCCCCCAGGAATTCTTCTCCTACGCGCCGGGCACCACTGCAAACGGCGAGTCTACAGCTGGGTATCCATGGTTGCAGCGTCATCATTCCGATACGATTGGAGACTCGAGGAAAGTTCATCCAGGATCAGTCAAGATGCCTCATCTGCTCAGCTTGTTCAATGAGTAAGTCATGATTTTTGTAACAGATAGAAACTCCCATACAAATACATTTATCTTCAACAAACTTGAATACTCCATTCTGATTGGTTGATCCATGGCAACAAACAGTGTGACGTATAACTGTATTGCGTGGCTCATATCAAACTCGGCGTTACGCGCCATTCTAAATCTGCACATTGTGTTCTATTTACGCTAAAAAATGCACAGATTGCACAGCTGCAAAGTTTGCCCACATAGGCCCCAAAAGCGTCTTTACTGCACATCAGGTTTAGTTGAAATTAAATTTGTTGTCACGCTCTCGCTTGTGGAGCGTGGAATAATGTCGTGCGTCTGTGTCCCTTCGGCTTAGTGGTATACGTGATACAGATGCAGTACGTTATATGCAGTATTCCACTCGTACTCGTGTGATAAGAGAAGCACGCCATTTCCTACACACTCTAGGTAGTACCTGCTGACATATCCTGTTACAGTACTTCCGCAAAATGTATGTGTTGCCAGGGGCATAAAGCCAGGGAAGATTTGGGATATACCCATGTTCTCCCCCCCCCCTCTTTGACCAGGGGTAGGTTATTAAATCATCCTTCTCTCCTAATTTTTTGTGGTGATTGAAAAATTAAGGCATATTGATGAATAATTATTCATAAATACCTGGGACAGTTTTTTTATTCCTATTGGTCGAAATGCATCACGTGACCGTGTATGAACATGTGATAATGCCCGCTGCATAAATCACACTCTGGCACATGGATACAAGACAGTTTAATTGGGTCTGATTGGTCAGGAGTCTGGGTGCTGCGTGCCATGTTCATTGAAGGGGATTCTGTTAGAAAATTGAATATATCACAAAATGGACGGGGGTGTTCGGTAAAATGAACGTGAAATTTTAGAACAAAATCGTAGGAAATCCATTACACGTTGACTTCTTTTGACTCTCTAAAAAAAGGTATTTATAAATGGGAATAAATGTGTGCTTGGCCGGTCTTAAACATTGATAATGCCATTGATAATGTTGATAATACCCTCACCTGCGGCTCGGGCAGTAGTCGTGTCCATTCTGCGGAGCCGGTCTTAAACGTACAGCCAGTCTTAAACGCACGTTTAAGACCGGCCAAGCACATATTTATTCCCTTAATAAAACATTATATTCTTACAGCCAGTCACTGTATTCATGTCATATGAAGTCAGAATCAAAATACCGGTATCTGTATGCATGGATGAAAATTTGTAGGTACATATACATGTACATGTTGATGGTAAATTCAATGGTGGCAGTATTTTCCATGAAAGTGGTATGTTGGCTATATGCACTGTAGTTTTTTTTGGTTCTGTAGTGGCCCAAGTCCATGGGGAACAAACAACACCTGGTTTTATTCACCAAAAAACCAAATGCTCGGCGCTCCTCGTACACACCCTGTCCTTCATTCCCAAAACTTCTTCTTTTTCTTTTTACGTTTTCGGCCTCTACTCTTTGCGCTTGCATGAACCGCCACAAACTATTTTTAGTCCCAAAAACTTTCCTTCGTACCCAACCCCTGACCTGTGTGTGCAAGCTAAAAATAACCACTGTATCTGTGGGCCATGTCTGGATGTGCTCTGGACGCATGTACATATTCTGTTGACACTGCATGGGGCACCAACCTGCACAGCAGCACCCTAAGTTGATAGCACACATGAATACATCAGTGCTAACAAAATCAGTTCCCCTACAGTTCAAATCAGTTGATTCTTTCTAATGGGAGCCATCAGTGTGTAACAACAGTGCTTATTTTAACATGTGTCACATTGTGCTTGCAATATCAGTGAGTTTTTGCTTGCACAGTTCTCAGATGTACATCCCACAAAATGGAAAAATTCCTTACAGTTTGCTAGATTCATTTCTCATTAATTTGCCTTGACAGAGGAAGTTTAAAAAAAGATCTGGAAAACCCATTTTGTTCCTTTTCTGTATTTCATGTAATAAAACATTCCAGCCCCCAAAGGGTATTTTTTTTGGCTGGTGACCACAGTTCCACTATTCTATAAATTTAGTGCAAATTCTGCTTTCAACCAGAAAGTTTTCAACCCAAAGTCAAACATTATTTCACACCTCGTATATACAGAACTGTCGGTGTCTGCTGTGAAGGTTATTTAAATTTGAGTAGAAATTCACATTTTTTTCAAATGAAATCCTGGTACTTGTTGCTTGGATGGAGGTCCATATCCCAGAAATACTGCTCCTTCTTGATTAGCATCACATGAATACATGTAGTATCATGAATGCATAATGAATGATTGCAATCTTTTTTCTCTTCATTTTTCAGCTCCTATGAAATTGACGACGAAGACAGTGACAGTAAGTCAGCCAGTTCTTTTGTGGGGAAATTTCTCATCTCAATAATTGGAATGGACTCCTGATGCACATGCAGTTTGTCCATGAATAAGGTCTGCCCCCCTCCAATGGAAAAGGCAAACGGATTGTTGAATCCAGTACTGTGCAGTGTTAGCCCCATCACTGAACCGTCACTTACAAGACCTTCTCACAAGCTACTCCAGAAGAGCTGGTTGTGACTTGTCCCACAACTGCTTGTGGCCAGCAATGAGTACACGCACTTATATAATTTCACCCTTAACCCTAACCCCCCAAGGGTTGCTGGCCCTAACCTTCCCCATTCACACAAAAGTTAAACACCCCTATGGGAGTTTGTGCACAGAGGCTGTTGGACTTTTTTTTTTGTTTTTCTGAGGTACGCCAAACCCAATGCAAAAGCCGGCTGTTATGGTCGACCAGACCTATCCGCACAGAATTAAACACTTTACTACTGTTTAATTCTGTGTGGTTGGGGAAGGTTAGGGTTAACAGGCAACTTCTGCATTGAAATTCCATGTGAAATTAGTAAATTGGCGCATTCACTGCATGAAATTAAAAAAATGTCCAAAAGTCACTGATTTTTGCTTTCTGCACACCTGTCACGTTGCTAGCTGACTCCAGTGACATAGAAAGTGGTGATGAGCAACCTAAGAAGGGCAGACTTCAGGAGCTTACTTCATACGTGTACAACCGATCTCAATCATGTGACAACCTTCTCTACAGCAAGCCACCATCGGATACACATGGACGATCTTCCAAACGCCAACAAACAAGGTATGTTGTATGTATCAGTGTCATGGGGAACATAATTAGCTCTTCTGGCAAAAGGACTCGTCCTTTACAAGTTTTCTCTCTATCCACCCTGAGTAGAAGTGCCCCCTCATCAGTCGATAAGAGCCATGTTGGTCAGGAGTGTGTATTTTGTTAGTAATGATGTGACTGCAGTGCTTGTGTAGTGTGAAGCAGTGATGTGTAGTTACTACCAAAGGGACCTCCATTGTCAGGAAAATTGCGCCCTCTCTTGGTCTAGCTCAAGGCTCTTAAGCTGTAAAAACTTGCTTTTTGCATTGCAAAATACATCTTACGCACAGTGCATCCATTTTGGACTTGATGAGCAGGTCCTGTGGAAGAATTCTGAAGAAATAGATAAAAACTGTTACCAGTTCACTTCCTCAATATGTTCATGCATAAAAACCCACGTCTTGTTTTTCACACATTCTTATGTTGCATCGAGAATATAAAAATGGTTTATGCAAGCACAGAAGCTCAAAGGCGACCCTCAGAAGAGTATCCTTCCTTAACGAGCATTCTTTTGGATTCGGTTTTCTCCCCAGCTCTCAAGGAAGTGACGGTAAAGATCTTGACAGTAAGTCATCATTATTTCGATATTACGAACACTCCAACCACATGTACAGTATTGCCGGCAGGTCTTGCTACAGTTTCAAGTGTGAAGGAAAGACAGTCTTGCCGAAACTTAAATTTTCCTGACCTGCTAAAAAAATTTTGCACCTTTGGAAGAAGAAAAAGTGGCTTATGTGGATCATGAAAATTCAGATGGTTGGTTTGAAGCATTACTTTACTAATCGTAAACTGCTCGCTACTCATAGCATCAAACTAGCATTCACTTTTTGTGGACAATTTCATTTACACTGTACTGGATGCTGTGCTGGCCAGAAAATTTGTTAGTTTTAATTTCAGTGCACCTTAAATGAAACGAAACTTTTACAGATTACATTTAGACGAAGATAGTTTACATTCAATCATTTCTGTCATGGACCACTCGGAAACTTAAAATACACCCAGGTAATATTTTTCATCGTCCTCCACGTACACCAGAGAGTGGCACAGAAAACAGTGCTCGGCAAGCCAAAAAAGGCAGACTTGAAGAGCTCTCATCAAGTCTGTATCGGCGGTCACAGTCTTGGGACAACCTTGTGTACAGCAAACCAACATCGGATACAATGCAGGACACATGAGGGAGGTCTCCCACGCACCAACAAACCAGGTATTTTATCAGAGTCACATGATGGCACTGACAACAGACCTGCTTGGAAAATCAAAAGCAGTTATTGTGGTTAGCGTTGGAAGTAATGTTTACCTCCATCCATTACCGGCTGATGCAAATCTTCACAAAAGCCACCCCCCCTGCAAAAAAATCTTTCTAAACAAAACTTTTAAGCCAAACCACTTCTTCACAGGAAGTTTGTCCAATCTTATTGTGCATTATGAAGCTGTTCTGATCTCAATTGAGAACAGCTTTTGTTTTTGTCCAGATTTGTTCCCTCGTATGGTTTTTCTTCCCTTTTGTTTCTGCATGCCACCTTTGAGGCATCAATCCGAAAAACTGGGGCAGCAATCGGTGTATGATATCACGAAGTGATCTGGGCAAGGATATGAGAGTTATTTGCTTTGTATCGACCTGTCACCTGATCGTTCTGAGCAAATTAAGATTTAGCACTGAAGACAAGAGTCACACAAGCCAATCAATCCACTTGGTACCCAAATAATTTTGTAAATGATTTCTGATTATACGAGCGGGCACTCTCAAAAAATTGCTGAAGTTTCTAAGTTCAACAGCTCATGGCGCTAATATTGGATAAGTTCGATCAGCGGTAATTTGTTAACCCTTGGTGGATTTTCCCTTATACCCAATATCTATTTAATGCATAAGTATTACCAGTCAAAATCAACCATTGGTTGCCGTGTTGTAACCAAGTCATTTTGTCCAAGTCAAGTCCCAAGTCATTTTTCACTTCTTTTCTCACTTCTTTTTTTTGTCGAAGTTTCAAAATGTTTGAATCCAAAAATCACCACTTTCGGAGTAGACATGGTGTTCAGTCGCCATGTGTTGGGCAAGGAACAAAATTGGTTCCTACCGTCATTGTTATCTACGTGCGTGCGGGAACCAGTTATAATAATAATGTTTGGTGCGCGTGCGCATGATAGCAGTGCGAGAAAAGAAATCATAGTACTGGCATCTAACCAGTGATTTTTTTTTTTTTTCAAAATGTAATTTTTCCCCCCAAAAAATATTTAGGGCTTTTCTGTTCAAGTACATTGTTGTACATGTAATAGAATCTGGCATAAGAGATTGTGAATTCACCGTTCCAGGTTGGCGCCTGGATTGGTGATGGTACATGTTGTCGTTTTGCAGTCTTCGCACGCCTAGTGGCAAACTTGGGCTCTATAGAAAGATGGCTCTTAATAATCAGACTACGCATTGGCCTATGCCTCAGGCCCACACAAATTTCATACAGCTCGCACACGCCATGCATGACGTATGCATGATATGCGGTGGTGCCAGTGGAGGAACGCAACGCGACGCCACGCGTGGTTCTTTTGTTAGTTTGTATTTTTATTTTAAGAAAAGATTTAATGTCAAAAAGTCCTTTTTTTTTCAATGCGAGTCAAGTCTTGAGTCTTTTGTTTTCAAGTCGAGTCAAGTGTCAAGTCATTTTTCCCCAAGTCAAGTCTGACTTGTAGCGACTCGAGTCCGACTCAAGTCCGAGTCAGCGACTGGAGTCAACAACACTGATTGGTTGACTATTTGTCGCTGATTTAGCTTTCCTAATGTTGCACTATTTGGCCACTCCCAGTGTAGACAGTGTAATAGTCCCAGACCCTCTTCTATGTTTTACTCTTTTGAATTTCGTTACCACTCGTCTCTGTAAATCGGCTCCGTTCAAGTTGTGTAATGCTCTGTATTCACTCTCTGTGCAACATTTGTGCAACTATGCTTCCATTGCAAGTTGTTTTAAATTATACGAACAAGTGTAGATTACATAATCAGTTAAAATTCCCCCACGGAATTGATCTATACAGCAAAACATCGCCTCATTCTCACCTATGCCTCTGCAGTTGGAATGTTCATCTTGCTTACTGCCTTCAGGTGCCACGAGTAGTCTAAAATACTTGCCTTTCCACCATGGCGAGAACTCAATTGTACAATTCATCACTGTGAATTCTTCTTCAACAGGAGTTGTCATGAAGCAATTCTGAGTAAGGAACCACAAGTATGTAGGGGAAGGTCGTGGTCAATTAAGGCGGAAACTGGGCTCATGAGAAGGTCGTAAAAATGAAATCTAAGGGACTGCAAGTGGTCGGGGCTGACCACACTATATCCTGGACTGACCACACTAACCTTCTGGAAGTGCACAGATATTTTCTTAGAAATTAGATGGGAATAAGATGGGTTATAAAGAGGAGGAGAGAGAGGGGAAGAGGGTCTTTGAGATTTTGACTTGCTATGTATCACATCTGCTAGCACTACTGTAGAAATAAATAAGTATACATGTAGATTAGCAGAGAAGCGTGATCGTGTGAGTTTGTCAGAAGTACAACGGTTTCGTCGTAAGGAAGATGAAACTACATGACAGGAGTCCTAATTCAGTTGTTCAGGAATTCTACAACATTTGAGTAACCCTTTCATTGGTTTGGACTAATTTTCAGCAGAAACCTGTTAATATGTTTTCTTTCACCAATGGCACTGATTGGTCAGTATTGTCCGTGTCAGCCAAACTCCTTTTTGACACGTGTCAACTGTGTCACTTTTTTGTACAGATATTTGACGTCGGACCTCAGAAGCCACCAACTTTCAGCTTAGTGCAGTCCATTTGTCACCAGGCTTTCCAGAAGTACACAGACCTGATGAGGCTGTCAAATTTAAAACAACCACAATGCACCAATGTTATATAATAAGAGATTTAACCTGTTGACAACCACTGTCATAATCTTTGAATCCCGTTTTTGTAGCTATGAGTCCTACAGGGACATCTGAAAGATCATAAGTGCCACAATGGGCAATTTCTTTCAGCAATAACTTGCCACAGTTTGGATGAAAATCTTTTTTCTGTGATCCATCTACATCTTTGTTATATGTAAGAAGCAAGTAGTGAAACACCATTTTTTACCTTCTTATGGGGGTACCCCATCCTGTGAAAGCTGATCATTTGAGGACTTCACAGTGAAGGCATTGTGATTGGGCTAGGGGTGTTCCAAGCTGGGGATAGCTGGTAGTTTTTTTCAGCATGTAGTCGACCAGAGATCACCCAGCCAGCAATGCAACAAAGCTAGACAAACCATAGCTGGCCAGTCCTGGACTAGCTAGGCCAAGTGTTGCCAAATCTGGTTGGCCCAAGGCTGGTAGCCATTTTGAGCCTGCTTATGGCTTGTGGAGAGCTGGGTCCACAGCTGTGGCCAGTGTTGGAATAGACCTCTATCATGGAGCAGCCATCTTGTTTTTTTGCCATTTAAAACAATGTAGCCAAACTGAGGCTGGAAGGAAAAATGGTCTGTTCTCTTTTATCAATATATGAAGTTGTATTACTGTTTCCAAAGGGGCTTCAGGGAAAAAGACAAACATGGCAGCATCTTGATAATGGTTTATAGCAGCCCCAGAGACCCGGACCAAGGCTGTTTTCCAATACTCAACTTGGGCTCCGTCTCAGGCTTCAACTGTTTTTTCACTACCTGACTTTGAAGCTGTAAGCGCACTAATTAGTTTAATAGTGCCACAAAGCATCAAATAAGACGCAAGAGAGCCAGAAATTACAGTAATCCAATTTGATCTTAACGCTTCAGGCCCACAATCGGGGATTGGTTTTGGGAACGAAGCCTGAGACGGTGCCCAAGGCGAGTATTGGAAAAGGGCCCAGTCTTTCAATCCCAACCCTTGCCGGGATTGGGCTTGGGTTGTTCCAAGCCTGGGATATCTGAGTCATTCTTCAGGTTGACAAAATATCAGTATGTTCCTCTGTATCATCTGCCATGGCTCTTAAATGGGTTCAATCAGTGACCATTTATTAGTCAGTGGTCAATTCTCCTTGGTACCCTGTGCACAAAATATGTCCGGATACCAGTGAAAATCGATCAGTGGTTGACTGATGGCCACTGATGGAACTTTGCCGGTGCTGATGGAATTACAATGCAGCATCCTCTCAAATCTTCCTTATCAGTTTTATCTTCAGTTCCATCTTGTTGATTTTAATAACTAGAAGAGAAAGTTTTGAAACTTGTGGAGTTTTTAATTATGGCATGTTGACCCCAGCCTCCAGGTGTTATGTGAATCATAGAATATTACTGTATTTGGCCAAGATGGGGATGAACTGGGCCGTGGAAGTTTCTTCCTACATGCGTATGCAGTCCTCTTTTTCACAAAAGCCTATGTGTAAACCAAATTTTAGCCCAAAATTTTTTGTCTCGGATTTCCATCACTCTTTTGGCTTTTTGATGGCGCCACTCGTAAGCTTCTGATAAGGGGTGATGTAGCATGTGCATTAATATGGATAAAGTTGTTGAACCTGCGCAAGCTGAGGTCACAGACTCCATCTCTGGCGCACAAGCCAGCACTTGTCCATATGACTGGCTGGTCTAGTGCTGGACATGCCTTCCTCGGGCCCAGACCCAATCGGCGGATCCCAATACGACGCTTTTAGCGTTGATCTGCGCACTTCCGCGTTTGAAAACGAGGCTGTATGTGTCGGCTTCAATTCTTAATACAATCAGAAGATTGAAAATAAGCAGTGCGTTAGCAGTAAACACAGCAAAAGGCGCGCTCACCTTTGCTTAACCTAGTGACGTAACAGTAGAAATCTTTATGCACGCCCATGCAGTTTGCACAGCAACCGGCAATTGTTTGCTGTGAAATATGCTTACTGTTAAGCAAATTTTTGTGCTGTGGTTAGCAATAAAAATTTGCTTAATGATAATCAGTGCCATGAAATTAGGTCTTGAAGTTCACTCGCAGTGAAGATGAGCACCCTCAAGCCATCAGTTGGTTGTAATTAATTTGTTGAGAGACTGGAAAACTCTGACTTCCTTATCATGTGAGACATAGTGTTAATTGGACCCTGTAGCTTTTGTGGCCATTGAAGAAAATAAATTAGTTTCCTGTTCCTATCTGCTTCATTTTCTTTTGCTCCCTTCTATTTTATCTTTTACCGTTTAGTTTTCTGTGTGAAATTTTCAATGTATTTTTACTTTTTAAAACAATGTAGTTTTAAGTATAAGTGTTAAACCTATTAGATGGATGAAAGCTCTGTTAATTAAGATGCAAATTATGTGTCAAAGTATATTTAAAATCTGGCTGACATTATGACAAATCACACTTCATTAAAAAAAATGGCTACTTCCTGAGTTTTAAAATCAAAATCTAGATGAGAAACAATTTATTTTAGCCTTGGATGAGATATTGTGGAAGATAATGTACTTTCATTTGGATATTTAGTGAGTGTAGACCCAGGAAGATGTGGAGGCGTTTTTTTCCTTTTCATGTCAGCTCAGTATCTCTTTTCCTGTCTGGTTGCGTTGTGTGCTTCCATGAATTTACGCTACTTCAGCATTAAATATGCTGGGAAGGGTGTGAAAATTTGGCTTTCCGCTTTGATGAGCTCAGGTTTAAAACTTTTTGAAGTGGTGCGGAGATTTTTTGATGGTTTGGAAGTATTTTAGTCATGAAATATTTTGATACAAAGGATTTGGTTTTGGAAATATTTTGGTCAGGAAATATTTTGATCCAAAAAAGGAATTGTTTGTATACATATGGCTTTGTTTATATACAATCATGTAGTATTCTACTTTTACATGTAAATAATAAAGGTAAAACAGGTGGAGGGAAGAAACCAGCTGAATTTTTCTATATGTTAAAGGATTAATTTCATCATTTTGGGAATTTTGATTTAATCAGTTGTGACAGCTTAAAAGGAAGGCTTCCTTTTGTGTAAGCTATTTTGAATGTGACTTTGAAAGTTTTTTCACCACTTATGCACACGAAAATCCCCAAGCCAGATAACTTTTTTATTTTTAACAATATACCCCCATTGCTTCATTTAAAGAAGAGAAAATGTGAAATGAGATATATTTTAAGAAGCTGTAAAAATGACACTTCATATTAAATAAAGCTGTAATTTAAAGTTTTTTCACAACTTTTTTCACATCCTAAAGCTTTAGTGGATTTTTATTTGATCGTGTAGCAACATCAGTGTAATTGTGAGGCAAATCACATGGCTAATCACATGTATATATGGACTTTCTCTTATATCCTGCTGTCCTTATGAACGGCGAAAGTTCACCCTTGGTGTGGTGTTGGGATGGAGACCAAGGACTCAATTTTGGCGACCATGTGATTACCCAGGCGTTTCAATAATTGACCTGTGACTCACCAGTCACAATTTTTTATATTGAGAGAGATTAAAGCTACAACTCAGTCGCATCTACTTCTCATGGCATTATGTCTTTCAGGGACATGCATGTATTTATATTTACATGTCTATATAAATTGGATGAATTACATCTTGAAAGAACTTCCTGCTGATGTAGTGCTTATGAACTTTGTTATTTTTATACAAATAAATTTCTCAGCTAACTCGTTGTTGTGCGTTTGTATTGTTTGGAACAGACGAAAACATATTCTTGAGGTAATGAAATGGTGAATGACAAATATGTCACGGTTAAACGTGTTTTTGGTGTTACTTGTGTCCATTTTTTTTATATAACCCTCCCCCTTTAAAAAATCAGCCAAGCTGGTGGTAGCGGATGAAGCCTTTAATCACACCAAAAGCCACAAAGGTCTCATATGAGGCCTACAGGGGGTAAACTTCTGCGCGTACGTACCCCAAAATGATTATTTCCGAGTGTGGTGATGGTAAAAACTGTGGTCAAAACTTGAGGAAACACATCGAGTGTTCATTTCGATCGATGTGAAGTACACATTGCATGTAAATGTACGTTGCAATTACGTTGCAACATATTGCATGCTGCGTACGCGAAAACAAAATAATTTTAATGACTTTTCTCGTTTATAAAACACGATATTGCTATTTCATTATTTCTAAGATTTAAACGAGATAGCAAAGTCGTGTAAATCAGATAATAAAAATAAGTCGTTTAAACGAGACAAAATATTTGTTTTTGCATTGGCAGCAATACGTTTCCGTCACACCCGTACTAGCCTTTCGTCAAGGCCTTCGTGGTTGCGGTTGTGTGTAACTACAAAGCGACTGGATAGGAGACCAGGCGAGTGGCGAAGCCACGAGGCCTGTTCCAACTTGATTTTGAGATTTTTGTGGTGAATTATTCATAAACATTATATATGCATTGTTCATAAATTTCATGTAAACAACTGAAGGATAGAGTCTCCGAAATAAACGGCATTAACTCTAAAGCTCACGCAATGTTCCATCTGGTTTTTCATGAGCTATATGGAATTCCATATCTGCCGTCGCCCGGACGTTCGTGCGTCGTCTTTCGCCTTTTGCTTTTTGTTTTGTCCCAATTCTTCCATTTACCAGTTCCAAACATGCCATTTTCCGTCGCCCGTCGTGGGTCGCCCGTCGCGTCGTGCATCGCCCGTACGTCGTGCGTCGCCCATGAAATGGGTTGCATAGGACCTGCAAAAGCCAGGGTTTAACAAATGACAATGTGATGATTACATTCACTTCTAAGGATCTTTTCCCAATAAGGCAAATACAAATCTCACCTGCAACACTAGTCCGATAATTAATGCCAATAATGCTAGACTACCCCTGCCCCTTGACAAGACAATGTCGCCTTTCTGAAGATAGATTTTGGTGTAGTCATTTGCTGCCTGGCGTCGCCATTTCAACAAGCTACAGAAAGTGACCTCGACTTTGCCGAATTTTTGCCGTGCGACGACACACATGCTCGCCATCGTTTGTATACTAATCATTTGCATAATAGGTTAATTTATGCTGACCTTGTGGCTTATGATTGGTTGAGATTTTTGCTACCCCAACGGTAGCAAAATCGAAAACAGAGAGAAAAACGAAAGAAATTTCTGACAAGTTGGACAAAGCCTCGTGGCGAGACTAAGCCATCGTGCATGTGGTCTCCGGTCCAGCCGCTTTGCAGTTACACATAAAACACAGCCGCGAAGGCCTTCACGAAAGGCGCTACACCCAAACTATGGCGCCCCGTCCGCAGCCGAAGGGGTGCCACACCCCCAGAGATCGAGACTTTTTCCAAAAAGCGATTTGAGGGATTATTTCATTTCCCTTCTTTGCAATTACATGAAAAGAAAAATTCCAAATTTCCGTCCCTCCCCCAAAAGTTTGGCGCGCAGAGTTTGCCTCTAGATCCATTTCCTTGCAAATCATATCCTAAATTTTGATCAATAACAAATTAATATTCGTAGTGAATATATACAGTGTATATGCAGCTGTCCAGTGCACCCTGGAACATCTAATGTAGAGCATGCACTGGAACTAGAAACTCACAAGTACGCTGAAATGTTATGCTGTGCTGAAAAATGAAAACGGCTAGGCCACAGCCATAGTGCCACTTTCGGACCCGATTGCATCCAAATTGCTCAGAATTGGAAGCCCTGAGTCCGGCCCAGAGTTTCAGTGTCATACTTCTTCAATACCCCACTTCCATGGCTCTCAAGACCCTCTAATATAGAGCTCAGCGGACATATTTCTGGCTTACGAAATACAAGGGTGCACCCATGAGATCAATGGGTGCAACCC